TGCATCACCTACCAACGGGGATCGGGGCTGGCCGTGTATGTAGATGCTATAATAGCTACGCCGATACGGAGGATAAGCGTTCGGTGTCAGGGTTGGCGACGACGGTTAGTGGTACCATAGTCAGCCATGGTAGCAAGACACAGAGCATCGTGTCTTTGTCTTCGACGGAAGCCGAGTACATTGCTGCCGGGGAGGGTGTCAAGGAGGCGTTGTTTGTGCGTGCTGTGCTTTCGTTTGTCGCCCCAGAGACCAGTGGTAGCAGCATCCAGGTCCTTGAAGACAATCAGGGGGCCATAGCGTTAGCCTAGTGCAGTCTCCCTGGTGCGGTGGCTGGTGAGTTCCGCCGGCTTGTCGAAGCGGGCAAGCCGCCGGGCCTCTGGCCCGCGGAGCGCCGGGAGATCCGTCTCGCTGTCGCTGTCGCTGTCGCTGTCGCTGTCGCTGCCGCTGCCGCTGCCGCTGCCGCTGCCGCTGCTACCGCGGCTGCTGCTGCTGCTGCGGTCGTCCTCGCCTCCGCCCACATCGGCCATGCCGGCCGACGTGGTGGATGGGGCGACGCTCGCTCCCTCCCTGCTCGAGGGGGCGCCATCGCCAGCGTCACCTGCGCCCGACTCCTGGGGCGCGGCCGGCCCCGCGGGCCCCGGTGCTGTCGTCGTGTCAAGGTTGAAACCTGGTCCTCCATCCACAGGTTCACCCTCCGCCCTCCCTCCATCTTGGCTCGACGCGCCCTCCCCAACCTCGTCCTCCCCAGTCGCGAGTTCTACTTCCTCCTCTACGATGGGAGGCAGCGACTGGTGCAGGGCGGTGGGGGCAGCGGGTACGGATTGCCAGGTGAAGTTGCGAGTTGTGATCGCTAGGCGTTTTTCGTTCACAATGCGCACGCAATCACGGTTGGTGTTGAGTCCCGGGCCGAGGTAAAAACACTTTTGGGCTTTTGGCTCGGACTTGTGCGTGCGCTTGACCTTGTATACGGCAGGTTTGAGGAAAGGGTACGTCGCCCCCGGCGAGGGAGAGCGCCCGTGTCACATCTCGTTCGGCGATTTCTTCTCTGGGTTGGATGTGATGGAGGTGCAGTTCAGGGCGTTGCATGCCCAAGCTATGGCCTCGGCCCAAAGGGAGGGGTAATTCGGTGCTCCGGGGTAAAGAGTTGGCGCTTGGATACGGGCGGCTAGTGCTGCATCCTTGATCAGACCCAGTGCTCTCTCAGCTACACCGTTGTATTCTGGTGAACTCCTGTTTGATGCAGTACTTCCGGCACACCCTACCGAAGTCTCCCTCAAAAAATCTCCTCCGTTGTCAGATCTCACACCATGACATCGGACGGGGCACCGTCTGCCCGGTTTTCTGCAAGGTACATCTCGAATGCCTCAGCTGTGTCTGATTTGCGCTTCAGGAAATAGACGCGGTTCCACCTTGTGTAATCATCCTTGACAATGAGAGTGTACCACTTTCCCCCCAAGCTCTGCACCCTAGCTTTTCCACTCAAATCCACGAAAACTCGCTGCAGTTTCTTAACTGCTCGGGTCGACGTTTTGTTGGGGATGGGCTTGGAAAGCCCCTTCGCCGTCGAGCACCCCAGGCACTCCCGGAGCTCGCCCACCAGCGTCGTCCCTTGCTGCTTCGCCGTGGTCCTCAGCAGCACCTCGTGGGAGTGGCGTGCGCGCAGTGGAAGTCGTTGATGTCAACGGAGGCGCTGGACGCTTTCGCGTTGCCAGGAGCAATTGCGGCAAAGGCATGTTCGGTGTGTGTGGGGAAGCCGTTTTGGACGTACAGGTTACCGCATCGGGGGAAGTACACCGACTCCCCNTCAGGTGCTCCCGGAGCTCGCCCACCAGCGTCATCCCTTGCTGCTTCGCCGTGGTCCTCAGCAGCACCTCGTGGGAGTGGCCGTGCGCGCAGTGGAAATCGTTGATGTCAACGGGGGTGCTGGGCGCTTTCGCGTTGCCAGGAGCAATTGCGGCACAGGCATGTTCGGTGTGTGTGCGGAAACCGTTTTGGAC